CGTCGTTCGCTCTCTTGACTCTGCTCTCTGGACGCTTCCCTCTTGTCTGCCAGCTTGTTCCGGGCTCTTCAACAGCGCTTCGGCACACGCCCAGCGTGCCCCTCTCCCGGCAAAGCCCTAAGAATTCGACCAGCGCAACAAAGTCTTTGTTTCGCTTGAAGCTACACACGCGAAGTGCCGCGACATTGATTTTTCCCTTGTTTAACAGCTATCTTTTGTTTGTTAAAAGTTATCAGTCCGTTAAGTTACACTAGTTAATTCAAGAACGACCAAGTTCTTTTTTAAGCTTTATACGTTAAGCTAAGCCCACGGAGGTCGGACAGCAGTAACAAAGGACGACTTAAACTTGACCCGAGAAAGGGTTGGGAAGGCCCCCACTGCAAGTTTCTTCAATAAGCCTCCCCGAGACGGACCCCGGAGCAATTCCCTGGCAGAGAAAGCGACTAGCCGACAGCTTTAAGCGGTCCTAACCAAGAACGCCAGTGTGAGGCCGTTTACCAGCAACCCGGCGGGGAGAAACACAAGCAGTAAGACCAAAACAAGGCATTCTGTAGTCAGTGACGTCCAATAGTTGTTAATCCATTAATTCATTAGCTGCCGTATGAGTCAAATGCTTCCCACAATAGGAACCCTTCTCACTGTTTAGCCATTGTTTATTTCTCTAGTGTATTTAACCGCATTTTTATATCACCTTAGTTAGTTAATAAATTCACTGTAATCAAGGAATTGTGTGTGTTACCTATTTCTACGTCCCTGCCAAAAGAATTTACCCTTTAGATATGAGACTGACTGACTGATTTAAGATAATTGTGCGATTATTAACTGATCACTGGTGAATAATTGTATAATTATTAAAAGCTACCTAGAGGTCCGGAGACTCTAGGTTAATAACAACTCCGGTGGTGCCCCTGCGAAACGAGAGCTTTTTATGGATTAATATTTTCTGAATATAAAAATTCATAATTGGGTATTAATTCTCATAAATTTATTAAAATTCATAGGTAGTTTAGAAATGCTACACGCGCTTCTCAGCAGCGGGCCACAGTGTTTCCTGTTTCCGATGATGTCAGTGGGCACCCAGAGCTCTGTGGGACCAATACTTTATTTTTATAGAAAAACCAGACTAAACTGGACATTGCTTGGAGAGTAAGCAAAGAAGCTGTACTACCTGGTGAGTTCAGAAAATATGTGTCTGTAACTTTATTCCAGCTATTGTTGTACTTTACTGTGAACAAGTTAGCATAGCATAGCCCTGACGATTACAAAGAATAAAACATTTATAACTGTGTTTATGAATGACTTACTAATGTGCATTAATGTATGAACAATGCTTTATAAATGATGAATTTCTTATTTACGAATACTTAACTAATGCTTTATAGTGTGTAGTTATTATAAAGTGCTACCAAGAAAACAAACATTTTAAAAGTTGTTGTCCTGCTGTCTTGCCGACAGACCTGACAAAGCATGAATTCATATGTTTAACAAATTGTCAATCATGTTGTATTTATTTCGGCATCATTTTGATCTCCTCGATGCAATTAAATCACAGCAAAATGTTTACTTTACTAGCAAAATGTACTACTTTTCATAGAGCTGTAGTAATCACAAGTTGTAAAAGTCAGCAGCACGGTGATTCTGGTTGACAGCACCGTGCTGAGTAGGTGACAGGTGTGTTTATGTGGTTTGTGTGAATTCTGAATTGTACCCTTTCCCAACGAAGCCAGATGTTAGTGGGTTTTTGGTCCAGTGTGAAAGGGGCTTACATTTGGCCATGCTGGTTTCTTCTACCTCAATCTTTATTTTGTTTTTTTCTTTAACTTTTTCCTATCTTCATCTTCCTCCTAGTCTTTGCATCTTCTGTTTCCCCCTTTCCTCTTTGATCTTTATCTTCTTCACCTTACTCATCCTCCTACCTCTGACACAGAGAGCTAATTCACCCTGTTGCTCCTGCTCAAACATAATGTCTGGAGTAATTATTCTGTTGCTCCTTAGATATGTGTGTGTGTGTTGCAAACTGCATTAAATAAACCTGAGAGATTCATAAATAACCATGTGGCACAGGTAGCAGTGGGGCCACTTTCACTGACCAACAAACATACATGGCCGTGCCACCCAACCAGCTGCTAATGGGGCCATTTAAGCAGACTAGAGATCATCTCACACACATCCTTTTTGGAACAGCTCTGAACACAAATTGTCACTCCGAGTCACATCATTACAAAGCAGCTAACCCAGATGTTTTCATAATGATCAAGGAAACTCATCAACATACACACACAAACACACAGCACCCCACTCCCCTTATTTAGCATTAAGTATGTCTACAAACTGCATATACAGCTTTTTAGGTCACCCTGACTCTGTCTTTACCCTGCCAGAGAGGTGCATGTTGGGTAAACAACCCCACCTGGGGACCATAGGTGTCACAACAAGATATCTACTTGTATTTTACTGAAGCAATGTATTTTTCTATGATATATATTTTATAATATGATAATTTAATATGTTTTATAGATTATTATCATATTCTATTTTAATTATTTTTAATTCTTATAGTTACAGTATTTTATTGTTTAATTGTGTTTTTAATGGTGGATTTCTTTGCAATCTAAATTGCTTCCATGCTTGAACAGTGCTATCCAAATAAACTTGCCTTGCCTTTGTTTGATAAATAATCAGCAACATATATATGATACTGTGAAACAGGATAGGAAATGTGGTTTAAAGCTCAACTGTAATTTTCTAAATGGCAGACTCCCTAATTTATACCCAAAAGCCTAATCTACCCTGGAATCAGTTTAATTACATATGTTGTCAAGAGATGTGTTCACAGTTCTGTTTGCTACCAGGTGCAGGTGTAATGAGCCACATGTAGTCATGTGTGAGGTTCTGTTTGGGATTTGGTAGCATTAAAAAATTAAAAAAATAGTTGATTCATTCGTTAGTTGATTTCTCAAGCTAAAACGTTACCTGGTTCCAGCTTCCCAGATTAGATGACTTGCTGCTTTTCTTTGTCATATTTGTCAGTAAAGGCATCATTCTGAGATTTTGTACTGCTTGTCGGATAAATGGGAATCCGAGGACACCATGGGAATGGGTGTGCTTTCGCTTCTTTCCTTGTCTGAATTTTTATCGATGACGACAACGACAATTATGCAATAATGGCCAAAACAACATCCAGGTCTAGGGTCTTAGTAGCAGCAGTCTGCAGCACAGGCCTGATTTAATGCCATTACGTTTAATTAAATCAGCACAAGATTAAAAATGGAGAGAGAGAGAGAGAGAGAAACTAATGCAAAAAAAACAACATCAGTTAAATAAAGTACACTGAAAAAGCCAATTTAACTTGTTGAGGAGATTTTTCTCATATCAGATCAGTCTATTAAATGTCATTTTTGTCAAATGTCCTGTCTTGTCTGAATGAAGCCATAAGAGAAATTTCTGTGAAAGACACGTGTCTGACAGCCCATTTACATCTGGTATGAAAATGCCATCTAAATCTGGACGGACTTGTTATCTGGATAGGGAAAAACATGTTAATGCAAGGTGTGAATACATCAGAATGTGATGGTATCTGCCTGAGAAACATCTGGAGTTAGTGTGGCTCGCAATGTGTTTGGATCTTAGGTAGGTGTAAACACAATCCGCAGCCTACAACGTGCTGGCATCCATACACAACGTTATAGCCTACAGATATTTGTTTTCAGCTAACAAAAAATATTTCTAGCGAGAAGGCTGAAAGAGACGCGCCTCTAATGACAGATTATGCATCTATTCTCTGCCATGAAAACACCCAAAGATATTCAAGTTATTCAACAGAACTGTGTGAACATTTAAAGCAATACAGATGGAAAATGAATGATTTACAGCGACAAATAACCAAGGTTCACGACAGTGTGCGTTCTCATCTCTACAGCTGATCTGGTGTTAACAAGGCATATCATTTATCCAGTACCTTACAGTACTGCAACACACCGGTACAAGCTGTTCAATCATCTGACGAGCAGTTCTCATGAAGTATACTGCCGCCTTACGGGTGAGCGCAGCCACCATTAGAAAGAAAAACATTTCAGCTGTGTGGATCAGCAAACCAGTTTTTTTGGCCACTGCCCAAAGCTCATGAATATGGACCGATCGTACGAGGGGTTGTGCAAGTACTGCTTGTGTTTTTTTCCTAGCAGTGACAAATTAGCCAAGGAGGATCCCACAATCACATATTATGCAGGTGTTCACACACACACACACACACACACTCTCTCTCTTTGATTCATCTGTCACCAGCCTAAAGATCAATCACAAATGACCACATACAAACACACAGTCCACACAAAATTTACTAATTTCTGCTCTGTCACCTCCTATTACTCCTACAGGGTGGGTGTGTGTGTGTGTGTGTGTGTGTGTGTGTGTGTACACACCGGTGAGTGTATCATAGTGTGACAGTGAACATCAATCTATGCACCAGTAGTGATGCCCAAAGCCCTGTCTGGGGTTAAAGATGATTCTACTATCAATCAACGTGTGTGTGTGTGTGTGTGTGTGTGTGTGTGTGTGTGTGTGTGTGTGTGTCTTAATCGCTTGCCCTGTTTCTCATTCTCTGTCCAGATCAATACCATGGTTACACTATACACAAAACACAATCAATCTCTCTCTTTCTCTTTTCTCAAACACACACAGCTGACAGTGTTCCGGAAAGACAAGGTCATGGCACAAATTCCTAACATATAAAGAGATCTCATCAGTGTATGTTTTGAATTTAAAGGATTATTCCATTTTATTACAATTTGGGTTACTAGGACAATGTCAGGTTAGCTCATAGAAACAATGGGGGGACAAAAACTATCAGAATAAAACCCAAGTTGTCTTAAATTGCTCATTGTTTTAAAATCTGAATTCAAAGATTGGCAAGCTAACAGGGTTGCTGTTCTTGGCGGAAACAGATTCCCCTAATCATGGTGACAGCACTGGGATTTGAAAAGAAAGGATGTCATGTCCACCTTGTTTCTTTCAAACAGCTCGCTCTGGATGGCCTTGAGGTCGATGTCAAGTGCGGAGGCGGCCTGCCGGCGTTTCTTGGCCAGCTGCTCCTCCAGGTCTTCTGCCTGAGCCCTCAGCTTCTTGTTGTCCCTCTCCAGGGCAAGTTTCTCTGTCTCCAAACGCTCCCTGCGCCCCCACTCTGCAGCATTCTCCACCTGCAGCCTCTCCATCTGACAGAGACAGAGAGGCGGAGACACACAGACGAAGAGAGGCTGAGGACACTGAAATGATAAATGTATTTTAGGAGTACCACTCAACCCTGGTGGTAACATGAAGGTTAGAGAAGAGCTTGTATTCTCTGTGATAAACAGTATAAAACTGTTATACTACAACTACTCATGGATGACTTTGGCCAATATCACCAATTCCCATGTGTTCACAAAACTCACTAAAGATAATCTGTAAGATGTAGCTACTGATGTTACAAACACAACACTAAAAACCAAGAAAAAATATTGATCCATGCAGAGGTGATGTGATTAAATGCAGGGCACACGTGTTTTGCAGTTTTGGCAAACCTCAAGCTTGGAACATAATGTACCTGTTCTGTGAAAATACAGAGAGCAGGACGCCTGCAGCAGCAGGGATCTGAAGTGAAATGTTCAGTATCTGTTCATAAGATTAGTCCTGTTACATTTAGTTTAAAAGTGCTGAAGTCAAAAAAGGAAAAGGCTTGTGAGGGGCCAACATTTGTTTGAACCTGCCCACCCTCCTTCCATCACCCCACACTCCTGCTCTTTCTTCGTCTTCCTCTGCTCACCTCAGCTCGTAGTTCAGCTAGTTTCTTGTCCATACTGGTTCGGGCTCCCAGTTCGTCCTCCAAGTCTTCAGATATGCGGCCGAGTTCATCCTGGTGCATTTCTTTCAGCAGGTTCAGCTAGATGGTGTCAGGAAGAGGTTAAAAAAGACAAAACATCAAAGGGCTGGGTGTTTTATATTGTCCTTTATTTTTAAGGTTAGCAGGACCACTGACATCTTGTATTAAACCATTTAAATAGTTCCTTTCTTCTCCTCTTTAAAAGGTGCAACTCTACAATGAGAGCTAAAAACAAGTAAAGGTATGAGGATCCACATATATTCATTTTAACTCTTAGATACTGCTTATTAAATGCACAGACTGTATGTATTATGTATATTTCATAATCAGGTAAACTGACATATTTCAACAGTGGAGGTTAGGGTTTTTTATTAAAAAGCTCAACATTTTTCCATAAAGAATTTCTTTTTGTAAACAAGCTATAAACACAACATCTGACCATGGCCATACCCAGGACTGAGGTCACCAAGGTCCAGAGCACTGTATTCTTTCTGAGGTCTATTTAATAAAAGTTATGAAATAACTGCCAATATATTATACAATGGCAAGTTTTCGACTTTCTCATCTGATCACCATCATTGCACGTGTGTGTGTGTGTGTGTGTGACGTCGTCCAACACATAGCACCTGTGCAGTCATGCTATGTTAACAGTGCACGTGGAGATAGCATCCTCCGTGGATCTGTGGGTTCTGAATGAAAACTAAAGAGGGGCCACGCTGACTGGGATTTTGTTCTTTATGTGCTGGAGAACCAGTTTCTCAAAGCACTTGCACTGAGACAGTGGGTCTGCATCCTAAGCAGCTGGAAGCAAGGTTGATGAGAACTTTTCATTCACATTTTTCACATTGTCCTCTTCTGAATATGTAAAAAAAAATGTATCCTTTCATACATCTAAAGAGACTGGCTGTGTTATGGGACTGTTTACCTTGGCTACAGACACTTTAATATACTTCTTTAGAAGTCCATATTCAAGTGTGCAAACCTTTTCACATTGTTTATTCAGAAACTGAAACACCAGCATGCAAATAATGTGCCATTTGTGGTTAGTGCTGATATTGAAGAGATGGAACTGCTGAGGTCAGTTCTGAAAGACAAGATTCTCTGATGGGACAATGAAAAAAAAGTTCAATCATTCAATATCTCAACAACAGCTGTCCTTCAAACTGTGTACGTGCTCGACATTTAGTGTTATCTACAACACTTTTTCCTCCTTCTTCTTAAACAGGTGACCATTTCTGGAACCAACAACAAGTGTGGAGATAAGGATGACCCAATCTCCTTTATTATCTCCTTTTCATCCCTCCTTGTTCTTAATGGATCATTGCATCTCTGCCCGTGTCTCATCTGCCTTCTCTCCACCTTCAGCACAGCCCTATCCTGCCTCCATCTCCATCACTTCTACCCTGCTTATCTTCAAACCACCCATCATCACCATCTACACATCTGTCATGTCTTCTGATCTGTCCCCTCCTTTCTTTCTCTGTGCTGGTTCTAAACTGATTTTGTCATACAGTGAGCCTGTGTTATCTGGGTTCTTTTCAGCCCTATGTCTCTCTTCTCAGCAGGCCGGGACTGCCCCCGAGTGGTGGAAGACAAAACATTTGCCATGTTACTGTCTAAAGGCCTTACAGCTGAGCCCTACACTCTATAGGTGCAGCTTTGGATATCTGGCTCTCAAAACAGGTTACAGTGGAATATAAGCTCACTCATCGTTTCTACAATTATAGTTTAGAGCTACTATGTAATAAAGATTTAATACACTAAGTGCACATTTATTAGGCAAACTGTATTCCTCAAGATTCATTTTAACAACACACAATGCTCTCAGTCAATCAAAAATATAATTAAACCTCAAACCTGAATGTTTAACTAAGAAAAAGTGAGTTTTGTCTTGATCAGGAGAATACATAAATCTGCAGAATTATTAGGCAACTAAATTACCAAAATAATTTCCATCAAATGACTTGTTTATTCTATACTTTTTTTGTGTGGGGGGGGGGTAAGTGTTAGAACACAAAATGATAAATAAAATTTTTGGCCTTTCAAAAATATTTAGTGACCAGTATATTCAGTAACTGCCATGAGCCTTCCATCAGTGGAGTCAGTTTCTTGATCTGTTCACCATCAACTTTCACTGGAGCAGCAACCACAGCCTCCTAAACACTGTTCAAAGAGGTGTACTGTCTTCCCTGACCGTAAATCTTATCTTAGAAGAGTCCACAAGTTCTCAATAGGATTTAAGTCAGGAGAGGATGGGGGCCAGGCCATTATTTGGGCATCTTTGAGGCCCTCGCTGGCTTGCCAGATCATGGCCTTCTTGAAAACTGAGGACTTCTGCCTGTCCCACTGCTTGAAGAAAGTATCCTCCAGAAACTGGCAGTAGGTTTGAGAGTGGAGTTTCAGTCCATCTTTAACCCCAAAAATACCCCAACTATATCCTTAATGATAGCAGCCCATACCAGCACCCCTCCTCCACCTTACTGGCACCTGAGTAGACCTGATGCGGTGTAAATCAGTGATCCAGCCACAGGCCCGTCCATCTGGTCCATCAAGAGTCACTCTCATGTCATCTGTCCACAAAACCTTTGAAAAATCTGTCTTCAGGTATTTCTTTGCCCAGTCTTGACGCTTCAACTTGAGAATCTTGTTCAGTGGTGGTCGTGTTTCAGCCTTCCTGACCTCGGCCGTGTCTCTGAGCACTTGGCACCTTGTACTTCTGGACACTCCAGGTAGGTTGCAGTTCTGGATTATGGTGGCACTGGAGGATAATGGGTTCCTGGTAGCTTCACTTTAAATTCTACTCGAGTCTTTTGCAGTTAATTTGTCTTTTCTTTTCCATGAGCTTTTTGTGACTATTAGCGTTTGATTGTCCGGTGGCCCCGCCTCAAAGGTTTAGCTATTTCAAGAGTGTTGCGTCAGCCTCAAAGGCATTTTACAATTTTTGACTTTTCAGTGTCAGTTAAATCTCTTTTTTGGACCATTCTACCTGAAATAATGCAGCTGCCTATTAATCGTGCACATCTTGATATAAGGTGTGATTCACTTTCACCACAGCCTCCCTCATTACACAACTACATATCACCTGAAAATGATTAGCTCCAGTGAGCATTCAAGTTTACATGGTTTAGAGTTGGAAATAATTATTCATTCAGAATACTTATCTGCCAAATAATGCAGTGCATGCAGTATATATTTATTAAATTTAGGATTGTGCACAGTTTCATTCAGATCCACTACAATTATCGCTGAATTGGAGAGGGATTGTTAGGTATATGTTGGGACCTCACTCGGTCGCTGAACAGAGGAGGGGGTCTGCGCCACCACTTGTCGCCCACTTACAATGCTGTCCTTTCATAACTTCGCAGGAAACTGAACAAGCATTTCCTCTTGGCCTCAGGTGAAGATGCCAACGATGGTCGTTCAGACTTGGCCACGTGTGGCTCCAACGTCCATGACTACTGTTGTTACCACAGCCAGGAGCACTAACGAACCAGCGGTATCGATGATCCTGGCTAACGATCCCACTGAGGTTAAATAGCTTCAGAGTTTCCCCACCAGTCAGTCAGAAGTCTCTTGGATGAGGGACAAAACGTCTTCTAGTTTTTTTCTTCAAAGTCCAGTTGCCCTTAACCTCAACCTTCCTTGGATTGTTTACCATCTTAACCATCTTTATTTAGAGCGTATTAACTAAAGTAACTGACAAAAATGTATACCTGATGATGGCACTAGATGAAAAGTCAGATGATCAGGAACGTATTAAGAATTGAACCTGATGGGAAAATGGATGCGTGTACCAAATGTCATAGCAATCCATCCAATAGAGGTATTTTTGTCTGGACCAAGATGGTGGAGTAATGACAACCTCTAATTTTAGCATGTTTCTCTCTATAGTTAAGATTAACAAAGGCCCCAGGCACCATTTGTGGAATCATAGTAGTCTGTCATCATTAATCGTGCAGATAGTCGCAACAACACACTAAAGGTTGAATGAGTTTGTCGAACTGACATCTAGGAGGGTCCCTCTGACAAGACAGAAAGTGGGATGCTGTCTCATCCTACAACAAAGACTTGATGAGATCCACACAGACATATTCTTTGTGACTGGCAGAGTGGCGGCCTGAGCACATGGATGTCTCACCTGTTTGAGGACCTCCTGTTTGTTCTTGCTGAGCTCCTCATATTTAAGTTTCCACTGACTGAGTTCAGCTTCCAGCCTCTCAATGCTCTTACTCAGTGCAAGCTTGTCTCTGGAGAAGACGCAGAGACACAACACACATCACACAGTGTGTACACAATCATTCTGCTGAAGTGCTGAGTGGGTTATTGTCTTAATCAGCAAATGTCTTTAAAAATAATTTTTCAAATTAAAGTAGACAGTGTCATCAAATGGAAGTTTCATTCCAACCTGAGTTTATGATTTTAAATTAAAGTTGGTCTAACGGAATTCTCTACTGCAGCAACAGATACAACTGTTATGTCACACTTCATATCTATGCTACAGCTTAGACAATTTTAGATTTTCAGTCACTCTTACTCTCTCTCTTTTAGCAGGACTTTCTGGGACTCATCCAGGCGAAGCTGCAGGGCGTTGAGTTTACTGGAGTCTTCCTCCACCGTGCTAATGTCGTCCCACAGCTGCCTGCTGCGTTCCTGCCGGCTCAGACCAGAGGACGAGCGTGAGCTGGCCAGGTTAACACCGCCATTACCACTGCAGTTTTCCCAGGCCTCTTGAGTGTTGCCTTCAGAGGCCCTGGTGCGCAGAACCGACTCCAGGACCTCCAAGTCCTGGCAGAGGGAGGGAGAAGAACATGACACACTAGTTTGCTGGTATTAGGGGAATACTGTACTGTATATAACTGAAACTCATATCCCACTGACACCGCTACAATAAAATCAGTGTAAGAAACATGGGTAGTCAAGCATTAATCAACTAGAATTGTCTACATACATATACACTCACCGGCCACTTTATTAGGTACACCTGCTGAATTGCTGGTTAACACAAATAGCTAATCAGCCAATCACATGGCAGCAACTCAATGCATTTAGGCATGTACACGTGGTCAAGACAACTTACTGAAGTTCAAACCGAGCATCAGAATGGGGAAGAAAGTAGGGCTGCACGATTAATCTAATCGCAGTTGTGATGTCATCATGTGCGATTACATAACCACAAAAAAGTGTGCGATTTAATAAACAGAAAAAATGTGTGTGACACTCTCTCTGTGTGCGCTGCAGTCTGCTCATTATCTCTGCTCACACCAGGCTCTCGCATGTTGTGAGAAAACGTTACGTGCAATGAGAAATGTGATTCATGAGCAGTGTGCAAGTAACATTTAAGACAACAACCTAAGTTAAGTGTTCCTATTCTACACATGCGCACTGATGACCCAGGGTTAGGGTTACAATATTGGATTTATTTATGCACTTTAAAAACATTTATTGAAAGTTTTATTCTTTTCACATGTTTATTTACGGCATTAAACGTTGAAATGTATATTGTAACAGGCTGTATATTAACTTATTGGGAGAAAAATGGTAGTTCTATGTAAAATCAGATGTTGAGCACCCCCATATCCCCAAAATGGTATGATCCTTGTTTCACTGCAAAGCTTTAACTGTGAGATTGACAGTCGAATCAGGCTCCGCCCATCGAAGCATCGAATCTTCGACTATTCGGGGTCAGCCCTAGACAATAATGATAATAATATGATTAAGAAGTTAATACTTAGAATTAACAAATTAAAGACCAATATAGAGCTTTTTTTCCTGCACAAGGATTACATTTTAAAAATCAACCCACAGAAATGAAACTGCTGTAACTGGATATAATAATCAACTAGTGATAAAATATTATACTATTATATGAAATTATCATGAATATAGTAATTAATATCTTAAGGTTATACTAACAGTATAGGCTTCTATTAACTCAACCTTACACTTTTTATTTAATGATATGATATTATACTCATGTATACAAGTTCGTCCTCCAGGTTGTGGATAGTGTCTGTGGTATGGACAGATGTAGATTTACCATGTACCAAATTGAAATATAACAATATTATCCACAATAATCGCAATATGACTTTTTCTCCAAATTGTGCAGCCCTAGTAGAAAGGGTATTTAAGTGACTTTGTTGATTGTTGGTGCCAGACAGGCTGGACTGAGTATTTCAGAAACGCACAACCATCCCCAGGTTCTACAGATAATGGTCCGAAAAAGAGAAAATACTCAGTGAGTGGCAGTTGTGTGGACGAAAATGCCTTGTTGATGTCAGAGGTCAAAGGAGAAAGGGCAGACTGGTTCCAGATGTTAGAAAGGAAACAGTAACTGAAATAAGCACTCATTACAACCAAGGTCTGCAGAATACCATCTCTGAACGCACAACACATCTAACCTTGAAGCAGATGGGCTACAGCAGCAGAAGACCACACCGGGGGCCACTCCTGTCAGCTAAGAACAGGAAACTGAGGCGACAATTCACGCAGGCTCACCAAAACTGAACAACAGAAGATTGGATAAACATTGCCTGGTCTGATGAGTCTTGATATCAGATGCAACATTAAAAGGGTAGGATGTGCAGCTGACAAATCTGCAGCAGCTGGTGATGTTATCATGTCAACATGGACCAAAGTCTCTGAGGAATGTTTCCAAAACCTTGTTGAAAGTAAGCCACAAAGATTTATGGCAGTTCTGGAGGCAAAAGGGGGTCCAACCCTGTACTAGTAAGATGTACCTCATAAAGTGGCCAGTGAGTGTGAGTGTGTAAATGTTATATAGAATGAAAGTTGTAACATATGGAATGCAATCTGACGTCATTAAGGTGCTGGTCTTATCTAGTGTTTTCGATGTGATTCGTGTCTGCACGGATGTAACAAGTGTGACACTATCAGCAAATCAGCACGAAACCTAGCGTCCGCTATTTGGAGCAATTAAGAGATTCTAAACACACTGGAGAATGCATGTACGTGCCAAAATACTAATAACCGTTTCGCTTACTGTTCTACCGATGAAGAAATGTATTCTCTTTTTGTCTTACAAAACTTCATCGATGATTAAGGCTTCCTTTCAGTTTAAGTCCCAGAAAATAAAATATCGTTCCACACTACCCACATATCTTTTGACTCCCTGATTTTGAAGGGGTTATCAGAAATATGGGCTTCTTTGGCAACAACAATTCTCTCTTCTGTCCTCAGTGTTTTCTACTCCACCCTCTGTTCCTCCCGACGAGGCTGCAAATCAAACTGTTTCATCCAGAGAATCATTGAAAGTTTCGGCCAACGCGCTGTCACGGCAGAACCCCGACACTCTTGGGTGGGTTCTCGAGAACAAACATTTTCACATCCCATTTAACATAAATAAGATTGGACATGTAGATCGTTTCCTCCTCTCCACATAGTAAATCTGCCAGCACAAATCCAAATGTTTCACCACCCTATATCATGTGAGGTCTCGGTTTCCCACAGGCTCCATGAGGCAGCGTGGGGTTTTAAGATAATCATCATGCTGCCTTTAAGAGTTCCTCATAAATACTGAATTCTGCAACTGAGAGTTGGAAAGATATCTGTGGCATAACATAATGAACCCTGAGAGCATTTTATTTAGAGGCAGTTGTGTGTTTGTATTAAAGCAGCACAGAGCTTGTGCTGCAGGGACAGGGTATTGAAAGAAATGCACTCAATGTTTTTTAAGATTTCTTTTTGGGGGGGGGCTAAATGCTAATACCAGCATGCTAACATACTCAAAATGACACCATGTTTTCCGTGTGCTAATTAGCAAATGTTAGCTTGCTAAACAAAAAGATTTTAACCTGTTGGTGGAGCTAGGGGAAAAGCCAGCGCATCACCAAAGCTATTTCAATCATTCCTTAGGGGGGCATGGCAATCTACCCAACATTTTAAAAATACAAAGTGGAACCTCATGATGACACCAGAGAAAAAGACAGACGAACACCAAAATCATTAGGATGCATGGTCTGGTAACCATGTAACACTTAAAGATCTCGGCTTCTGCACCCTAAGGACAGAAGCCCCGTAGACCATTCACAGGTCCAAAAGTGATAGACCTGTCCCAAATAGACCTAAAGAGCAGCAATACAACAATAATGTTCTAAAATTGAATGTAGATTTCACAAATAATTTATTAATATAGCCGCAAGGGGCAATGATCAGGATCCAAGCAAGCCGTGAAAAATGCAACATTTGACATTTTCAGATGACTTTGGGCTGAATAATTGCAGAAAAACGCTAACTTGATTTTTACAGCAACACCTTGAGATCAGAGAGTGTCATTTTATGTACCTGACTACTGTGAAATCTTTTACCCACCTGCAAAAGTCTGTGATTTTTACGTTTAAGCTGCACAAACTTTTTAGCAAAGAAAAATAAGAAGAACTTTTCGAATGTACCGGTACTTTGGAGAGGTCGGGCTTGCCTTGCAGTGAATTTCTGAATGGTCATGTAGAGGTTACTGGCTTTAAATCAAGCATGCCAGCGTTTTTTCTACGACTGCTCCTCTCCATTCCACCGTTGTTTGCAAACCAATAAATCACAATCAACAGTCAGATAGCCATACAAGTCTCACCGATGTCCGCCTGAGATCGTATGTCGGCATGAAATGTATTGCTGGGAAACAGCAGCCAGCGTGCAGCGATGTGTTTACAGCGTACAGCTGATGGAGTTATGCTAAATACTGGGTCCTGAGTTGTTGTTTTAGGATTTCATCAGTTCAAACTTAATATTGTACAAATCCATGCAGCGAATTACGAGGTACAAACTTTTTGCAAGTATAGTACCCCCTAGTGGAAGAATATCCAAGGACTGCATCTGAACAGACGTGTCAAGTTTGGTTACAATAGCTTAAGCCAATTTTGGTTTACGGGCATTTATGTAAAATTGTACGTAAAGAAACAAAACTAAAAAAATTATTGAAAAAAGAAAAGTAATAAAAAGTCACATAATTTAACTTTTATAGAGCAGAAGACCATTTAAGCAAACATGCGTAAAGATCCCCAATTTATCTCTGTTTTTATTCACTTCCTTTCACCTACCTCACTTCCTTTCCTTTGTTTTCTCATCATTGATTGGCTCCCGCTTTCACCTTTCATTCCTCCTCATTGACCTGATTGAGTTCACCTGTTCACACTTTATTTAAGGACTGCACTCCCTCTCATTCTTTCACCTCCGCATGGGGCGGCAGTTCTGGTAAGAGAAGTTTAGTTTACTCTTTAGTTTTACCTTGTTTATGAAAACTTAGCGTAGATGTTTCTTTCCTTGATGGACAAGTGAGTTTAGTTTCTAATCTTATTTTTGCTTTCTTTCAGATTGAACAACTTGTGTGTCTTTTTCCCCTGACTATGTTGATAAATGCATCCTTTAAATTGGAAGAAATAAAGCATTGTTCAGAGGATATTCCAAGTTTCCTGGCTTACTTCAATGCATCCTGACCGATGTCCCCAATGACAACAGAAAATGTACCCTTTGAACCTCCTACTTTACAAAAATGATGAAAGAAGTATGACTCTAAATGAAGCCTTCTGAGATAATTGCATAAATGTAAAGTTGATAGTTATAGCGGAATTAGACATACAGACCAGAGAAATGTGGCAGTATAGGACCCAGAGGCTTGTGGACATGAGGAGAGCTCTACTGTGGGACATATTACATCAGCGAAGACGCAAGGACCCTGAACAAGAGACTGAATGAACACCAGAAACGGACATCAGCGTCTGTGAACACCAGAAGAGGTCAAAGGTCGTCAGCGGAGAGCAGATGCTTTTTTT